AATTTCATGTCATTAGCACCTCTAGTAATATATTTACTGAGAAAAATGGTGACGTGTTCAATACTTATTTTACCCGCTGTATTTATTTTACACCTCAGAGCCTGTAGTACATAAAACAAAACCCACAATAAATAAGATTAAACCATCTCCCAACTATTATTATTACATTGTTTATATTGTTGTAGTTAAATATTTTATTTCCCTAAAATCTCTATCCTGTATTTTATCATATTTGACTAACTGACAGCAAAATCAATTATTCAATGAAAATTACAAGTATCAATACAAGCCCAGTATTTACTTTGTATCAGATCGATACCAAAATTCCTAGTGCTGTCCACCCCTTGCACTAGAAATAAATTCCCTATTTGTTCTCCTTTGGCTGCTCCTCTGGGCTGCAGGCACTCTAATCCCCAACCCATGTGTTTTAAATATTACAAATATTTGAGTCATGATCAGGTAAACGCCCAAAGGGGTTGGCATGTTTGCATGTATGACATTTTGAGCTGACAAAACAAACAATAAAAACTAAAACAGAAAATGTGGATAAATGTGGCAGGTCTTCCCCCTGGTGTCTCTGAAGTGATCCTGCATGTTTCTCTGTTCCAACACCGCTTCACTCTATTTCAACTCCAAATGCTAAAACAAAAATGAATAAAAACAGGTAAAAATAAAATAAAATAAATAAAGCTTTGTGAAAACCAAACACTAATAGTAAAATCAATCAAATAAACTGTCCTTGAGGCTTTGAAGGTCTTCTTTTTTTTTCTTATTATTATCATTTTATGTCCAGCATTGGACCATGATTGCAAATTGGAAATTATGTTAGGAAAGCTGGTGACAATGGAAGACATGGCCTTAAAAAAAATAAATAAATTGAACAGCATCGGAAAATTGTGTTGTTAAAAAAACAAAAAAGGAAAACAAATGTAAATATTTGAAGGAAACACTTGAGATGCATCCTCCCTCATTTAATCATGTAAATGTGTCAAACTTTTATCTAAAAGTTTTTTTTCAAATTGCTTTTAGTATTCTCATAAATCCTTCAAGTTGAAAGATGTGTCTTTGTGAGTAAAGATCCCATTCAAAACTGGTTCAAACTTGTATTTTTGTATTAACATAAAATGATTAGTTTATGAGTCATTTTTTCAGTGTTGTATAAAGTACCACAAAGTGATACTTGAGTAAAAGTACAAGTATCTTACCAAAGAATTACTTTGGTAAAAGTTAAAGTCTCCTTTAGGAATTTTACTTAAGTAAAAGTATTAAAGCATCTGATATTTTTTGTACTTAAGTATTAAAAGTATTTATTTAAATTGAGCAATTAGTCATTTATGCATTTTTTGGGGGTGTGGTCACCTCCTAATAAATGTTATTACAGAAAATCTATGTCTTATTAAAATAATTAATTTGTGTACAAACTAATACGGTATCAGAATTTTTTTATTTATACTTTTCATTCAACCACAGTTAAATTCACTCTACGCACAATTTATATGGTTAGTATTTATTTGTTTTTACAATAACAAGCTGGAATAAAAACAAGCAAAATTAAATAAAAGTAACGACTTTATACTTTTTGCTTTTTTAAAAAATGTAAGGAGTAGAAAGTACAATTGTGTGAAAATGTAACAAGTAGAAGTAAAAAGTAGGCTGAAAAACAATTACTCAAGTACAGATACCCAAAAATTCTACTTACCGGTAAGTACAGTAACAAATTATTTGTACTTAGTTAATTTACAACTCTGCATTTTCTGACTGAATGACTCAAACGTCTGTATAAATTGATTATTTTAAAGTCCTCTGAAAACTGTTAAGAACTTTAACTGAAAAACGTAGAGAAATCAAAGTCCAAGGCAAAACTTTCAAAGACCTTCAGAAAGCCCGAAGAGCTGTTTTAGTTTAAAAGAGAACAAGAGTTTGCTTTATTGGAGTTGGAAGTAAAAATTAAGAAATGAAGAATGGCTTGTTACTTTTGCACAGTGCAGCTTGTTGTGATTTTTCTACAAAATCTGATGTCTTACCTTCGTGGTAGATAGGTTAGAATTAGTTAATTATATAGGATTAAGAGTTCTGGCTGGTTTTAGTTGATCAAATACTTATTTCCTTTAATAAAATGCAACCTAATTTCTAAATTTAATGTAATCTTTTAGAAAAGTTGCAACTTCTGCAGTAATTGGAGATGTGGGTTTATCAATGTAAACTTACTCCCTATCTATGTAAACATTTGACAAACACACATAAACCCAATATTTTAGCACCTGTTCTCTTGAAACCGTTTGTTTTAAAAATGTCAAAAATTTGTTTAAAATCACAAATTTCCCCAAGAGCTGATCCATAAAAGAAATCCAGACAACATGTTTGATTGTTTTTGTAAGTTTATTCTTTTTTCCACCAGTTTGTGTTTTTAAACTTACAGCGGGTAAAATAAGTATTGAACACGTCAGCATTTTTCTCAGTAAATATATTAYTAGAGGTGCTAATGACATGAAATTTTCACCAGATGTCACCACACAAGACTCCACTGCTGAAGAAACAGCATGTTGAAGCTCCTTTAAAGTTTGCTGCACAACATTTAAACAAGCCTGTGTAATACTGGGAGAATATAGTCTGGTTAGATGAGACCAAAACTGAACAGTTTGGATTCCAGAATAAACATCATGTTTGGAGGTCAAATGGCACTGCACATCAGCCCAAAACACCATACCAACAGTGAAG